AATAATAATCCTATGGGACAACAATAATAATGACTCTGAACTGGGACCTGGGACCTGGGACCTGGGACCAAGTCCCACCAGTGGATGGTGATAATAATAATTCTCTTGGGACAATAATAATCCCATGGGACAACATCAACTATAATGACTCTGAATTGGGACCTGGGATCAAGTCCCACAGTGGATGTTGAGCTGGGTTCTGGACCCGTTTTCCAGCAGGTGCAGCTCCCCTCTAATAGACTGGAGCAACCGGATCGCGCACTAGGGGAGGCTGCTCGTACCACCTTCCCTAGTGACCTTGGTCTGGCTTTCAAAAAAAAAAAAAAAAAAAAAAAAAAAGAGCTGGGTTCTGTTGAACTTCCAACCCGATGTGGCATCCAGTGACAGCAGCCTGGCTTACATCTCCACTACGACGATCAGACGGGAAATAAAGCAAGACGTGCAGCTCGAATAAAGTGGATTTTGCGGATGGAGTCCCATTTTCTGTATTCTTTTGGCTGTGTGAAGAGGGCCGTCAATGCTGAACTTGATTCGACTAACTACCCTGTTGGCATCGTCTTCCCCACGAATAGATCGGAGCAATTTTCCCTACCTCGTTGGCATTGTGGTGTTGGCCCGTTGGGGTAGGTAGTTCAACAACAGAGCATCCCGGAAAAGGATGCTCGGACCGAGGGCCTGCGTTTCCCTCAAATACGAACGTCAAAATCTCCCTTCCCCCCCCCCCCCCCCCCCTCTCCTCTCAAAAAAAAAAAAAAGAAAAAAAAAAAGGGTCGTCCGCCGAACGATGCGTTGTCATCGGTTGAAGTTTTTGTTTTCACATACGTGATTGTTTCTGAGATCTGTCCCCTGGTGGACCTCTGCCCCTGGGTGAGTTAAACTCCCCGGATGGAGCAAGGTGGTTGGGCCTGGCCGCACCACTCACCGAATGTGAAAAGACAAACTATGGCGGGTGTATGTTTTTCCACTTTATACCAGAAGATACAGTCTCCATTTTGCACATTATGTTTCCACTTTATACCAGAAGATACAGTCTCCATTTTGCACCTTTAGTGAGTAGTGCAGCGGGGCCCCTTTGCTCTCTCCATACTCGGTGACGACCGGACAGCGAAAACCAAGCAAGGAGGGCCTGGCTCCGGCACTTCACCAAATGTGCAAAATGAGAATGAATCTTCTGCTAGAACATGGGAATATACACCTCCATAATTTATCTTTTGTGCATGTGGCGAGTTGTGGAGGAAGGTTCGTACATGGCCATTATTGAAACCGGAGTACTTGATTACATTTTGAAGACGGTACGATTTGATTTTTTTTATTTTTTCCTGGTTTGGAAGACGAGATGTGAATTGCAGCTGAAGAGCCTCACTTGATCCCTGGTGCCGCTTTTCCAGTTGCAAGGGGTAAGGGACACACCCGGCTCATGTCCCAGTTCTGATGGGAAAACGGAAAAGAAGGGGAAGAAAGTTCTTACTTGTTTCCCTCCCCCCCCTCCTTAAACCACCACTACGTCCGAGCGTCATTCGCCGAGGCGGAGTAGAACTGCACACCAAGCTTTCACTGAAGCGCCAGCGTGGCATTTTTTTGTTTTCTTTTGGCTGGAGCTGCCAGCCTTTCTGGTCCAGTAGCCCCCGGCCTCCTAAGAATGCGTTATATGTTCATTTATGACTTAGCTCTCCAGCCTGAAAGGTAGTGGTGGTTTAAACCACCAGTACATCCGAGCCCCGTTTTGTACAAGGTGCATTCCCCCCTGTTGCTAACCTTTGCTGGAAAAAAAAACAGCGCGGCGTTTTTGTCTGGCATTGCCAGCCAGCCATTTTGGTCCGATTGCCCCGAGCCTCCGAAATTTGAGGGGAGGCTCAAACCGAGTCAAACGTGATTCTCAAGTTGGCTGGGGCCATGTACTGCTAGTTTAAGCCACCAGTACTTCCTAAAGTCGTGCCCGTTACGGGCCACTACAGGAGCGCCCAAATTCATCCGACTAGAAACGTTTCTACTCTATTTTTTTCCGCGGCCGACAGCTTGGCCAAATGCTGCTGGTTTAAAACACCAGTTCGTCCAAAGCTAAGGGCGTACTCAGACTAGCAGTATCTCAAATGTACCTGACCGCAACAGTTCCTTCCAAAAATACGCAAAAACGTAGTAGTGTGAGTATGCCCTAAGTTGGGTTCCTACCGGTTCTACATAGTACAGCCTGAGCCATGGCGCTTCGCGCCTGGGCCGCTAGTGAAGACAGAAGAGGCCACTATGGGGAAAAAAAGGAGTTGGATGCTCGCGAGCTTTCGAAGGTAGCTTTGTCAACGCTAGACTCGTGTGAACTTGTGGTTTAATCCCCCAGTACATCCACGCCTCCTCTTTTTGCCGAGGCGGGTTTCCCGTGCGCGCCAAGCTTTGCGGAAACAAGAGTGCGACACTTTTTCTTTTCTTTTGGCTGGCGCCGCCCGCTGTTTTTGTCCGGGGGCCCTGACACCCCCAAACTTTTCGGAATGAACTGATTTCAATCCTCAAAAAGTTTGCCTGGCCCATGTACTGGTGGTTTAAACCACCAGTACTTCCGGGGCACTCTTTTTGCCCGGGGCTCCAAACGCCCTGCGCGCAACAAATTGGCGCGGGCCTCGTTTTGGCTGGTGCTGCCAGCCATTTTCCTCCTGCTGCCGACCCTGGAAAGTTGCCGCAGCGTGCAAGCCGCAACCTGATAAAAATGGCTGGGAAAGGTACTGGTCGTTTAAATCAACTCTATTTACAGTGGGCCCAATGCCCAAGTCTTAGGGCATACTCACACTAGCACTATCTTAAATGTATGTGGCTGCATTTACGGCCAAACCTGTGTGCATCTGGCCGTAATTCCGCCGAGAAGCAAGTAAAAAGTGCCAGCATGAGTACGCTCTCATTTCGCCTGGCCCATGTGGCTGAATGGAACGATACTTCCTTGTAACTGTTTATACACAGACCTGAGTTCAAATCCTGCCAGAAGGAGATGAGTGGAGTAACTCTGAATTACCTGGAGTAACTCTGAATTACCGGGAGTAACTCTGAACTACCTGGAGTAACTCTGAACTACCTAAAGCTGGTCATTTCAATGATGATAGCTCAAGACCGTTCGCTGGCCTTTTTAAACCACTAGTACCTTTGCCGCTTCAGAAATGAGGAAAAACGCCAGGCCCCAAAGAATTCGGAGGCCGAGCCCGCCGACGGCTGCCATTGATAAATCTAATCGGCGGTCGTCATTTCGTTTCGGTCCCTCCTGAAAGGTCGGAGGCGGTCCGCTATTTTCCGAACCGACAAAGGTACTAGACTACTAGTGGTTTAAAGGCTTTTTTCTTTTTTGTGGTCTTTTTTTTTTTTTTTTTTCCTTTTGCAGACCTGAATTCTCTTTTTCAAATGGCATATATTGTTTTGCGATGAGCACTGGACCTGTGATAAAGTTTGCTTGTTTGTTATTAAAAAAAAAAAAAAAAAAAAGGGTAATCTCACAGGAGCAGATGAGTGACTGTGATGCACTAAAGGTCCCACTAGCGAAGAGGATTGGATTAAGCGCCTGAATCTAGACATGTTTTATGCGTAGATGCAGAAAAGTAGATCAATCGCGATTTCATGCGCCTCTCCCAAAACACGTCGCAGATTCAGGCGTTAAATCCAATCCTCTTTGCTAGTGGGACTTCGCGTCAGATCAATCATTTGCAGTCTGGTGTCTATCTTATAAGTTTTTTGTCAGTTTGGCATGGTGGGGGGTCCAGTCTGATGTGGAAGCACCTGAATTTTTATTTTTTTATTTAATTTTTATTTTTTTTATCATTATTCCATTTTGTTTTGCCCTCAGTATGGTGTTTTGGTTCCAAGAACGTTTCTGCGCCGGTTTGCTTGTTTTGTACAGTGCAGCACGATTCGGGTTGGAGAAAGGCAGCCTCAAACATAGGGCGTCACTCCACCACTCAACACTACATGCCTTTGGGCGCTTTCCGGACCAGGTACATTCAAAATGTTAGACTTGTCCAAATGCACCTGGTCCAGAAAGCTACCGAATGCATGAAGTGTTGTGAAGTGGAGCGAGGCCCATAGTGGTGTTTTAGAGCGTGATCCCTGACATTATTGTAGCCACAAAGAAATTTAAACTGCTACACTCTTGGTCTACAGTAGTTCCCGGTAATGTATTGGGACAGCATTCCATCTAGGTACAGCGACAATGGCAGCGCGCTCAGCTTCCAGGCAGTTATAGGTGGTGCAAGTGCCCCTTCATGCATGCATAATACTCTCATATCCTTAATAATTATGCGTAAACGTTTTTTTTTTTGGTTTTCGTCACACGTAAATTATTTCCGACTAGAGAAATTAGTAAATACTAAATTCATGTGATCAGTACCATGATTTATATATCCCTAATGACTCTGTTATTATTATTATTATTAGACATGGTTAAACGGAGGGTGACTTTCAAGAAAACAAAAAAACAGGAAGAGAAAAGGAATGACTTTGACAAGTGGCCCTTCATGTCGACAAGTGATAAGGTAGTGGGGGCAGATGCGTTCCCCCGAACACAGCACAACGCAGCCTCATCGTGAATGTAGAGAAGCTAAGAATCAGATCGGATATAGTCATATTGAGGGCTGTTGAGTTCTTGGGAATGTGGCAGCCGGATTTCAAGGCTCCGGACAGTCGGGCAGTAGTATCTGTGCAGGTCTGGGTAAAGGTCCGGAAGAAAAGCTCTGCACTTGGCTGACAGACACAAACAGGCTTTTCCTGTCCATTTTGCCGGACCGGGACCAGGTCCGGGACCAGGTCCGGGACCAGGGACTGCCTGGATAGGTAGTGGCCTACTCCCCAATCCTAGTTTCATAGATGTTTAACGGTTATGCTGGGAGAAAAAAAAAGAATTATGCTACAAGCAAATTTACAACATACAGCATGCACAGAGAGAGAGAGAGAGAGAGAGAGAGAGAGAGAGAGAGAGAGAGAGAGAGAAGTTGATTTATGATGTGGATGGTTTGCCTGATGTTTCCATATGGCAGGGGATCTGGTGAACAGGTGATTGCTTCCTCGGCGGTAGACTGCGGAGACTGGTGGGAGTCGTGGAGAACAGAGTCAATTGCTCTCTCTGCGGTGCTCTGGGGAGAGTGGTGAGTCGCTCTCCACCAAGCAAGGAGATGGCAGTTGCAAGGAAAATGCTGGTATGCCACTGCTTCAATTGTGCAGACTTCGGTCCTGCGCTCAGATCCTCTCCATCTGCCGATTCATCGACAGTGAAGCTCAGGAGGTGGTTCCCTCCTCCTGTCTCCCATGTTACCAAATCTCTTTTTCTCTTTCTCATATCCGCTCCCCCTTCCCCCCTCCCATTCCCCCCCTCCCCATTCACTCCTTCTTGCAGTCCCTTCTGAATTGTTTCCATCTCTAGTTTCTCTCTCTCTCTCTCTCTCTCTCTCTCTCTCTCTCTCTCTCTCTCTCTCTCTCTCTCTCTCTCNCTCCTTCTCCTCCCTCTTCTTCTTCTTCTTCTTCTTCTCCTCCCTCTTCTTCTCCTTCTCCTCCCTCTTCTTCTTCTTCTTCTTCTTCTTCTTCTTCTTCTTCTTCTTCTTCTTTTTCTTCTTCTTTTTACTTGGTTTAGGGTCATATGCATGTTCTACGGCAAGAATAGCTGCAAACTTGTGTGTCTATATGTATCTGCTCTCCATGATCATATTTTTTTCGCGTGTTTATGTGCATCTGTTCTTCATCCATGGCTTTTGTTCAATTAACTTCAATAGACCCACATCATGTGATTGCAGAGGGTATGCAGCAAGGGCGTGGCGTTCATGGGGAGAGGTTGAAGAGAGGGGAGAGATGGGGGAGGCAGAGGGGTGGTGTTGATTGCCCCCACTTGGCTGTGGCCCCCCCCCCCCCCCCCTGCGCCCAGCCCCCCTCCAGGTCCTAAATTAGGGTGAAAACTTGCGAAATGAAGCAGTGATTGACCCCCCTTTCTTCTTCACGTCATGTCGTGCTCATTGAAGTGTGATCTTGCATGGGTTGTGATTTTGTGATTTGCTGCAGATCTGACATATAGGCATGAGAATGGCATGAACTATGCCAGGGTACTTCCCCAGTTGATTGTAGGCTCCTGCCCACAGGTATAGGAAGTCCTCCCTTTGTCTTCTCTTTTTTTTTTTTTTTAGATGTGTATAAGAGACAGCTCTCTCTCTCTCTCACCCACACACACACACAGACACACACACACACACCCCAACACTGCCTCCGTGTCTGGCCTGCCAGTCCTGCCAGGGCTGTTTAACGATCCTGCTTTGGGCAGGACCAAGAGGGAAAAGTGCACCTCTCCCAGGTGGGACAGGTGCCAGTCCCGTCTTGTTACATGAGTTTCCATCCTTTCTATTGCTCTTCACGCTACTGGGCCTCACTCCCGTACTCTCCAAATGTGCGAGCTGAAAATGAATCCTCTGCTAGAACATGGGAAGATACACAGCCATATTTTTTGTCTTTTGTACATGTGGAGAGTAGTGGAACGAGGCCCAATGTTAAGTGCAAGTAAAATATGGTGCCTGAACAGTTTAAGGTCTTTAATACTCTTACATTGTCTTTTTTTTTGTTTTGTTACTTTTGTAACTATTGTTTTGTTTTGTTTTGTTTTGTTTTGTTTTGTTGTGTTATGTTTGTTTTGGTCATCTTATCCAGGGTGGCATCGACCGCCGACCCCGACCACGGACCGTATTGCAGCCCACCAGTAGGGCTGACCAGTCGGCGGTCTGCCGACCATTCAGGAAAAAAACAAAAAAAAACAAAAATAGTGCACCTCTCACTGGTGTGGGTGAGTGATAGTCTGCTTTGATTTTCGTCACAGGTACCGTGAGGGGAGTGGTTGGTGGTCCCCACCACCTCAGGGTATCAGTTGTCGGGCAGTCGTTGATGCTTAATCACATCCAGGGTTAAGGTGGATTATCACTTACAGTGTAATCAGTTAGGGGATTCTGCGGACTGTTGAGGGTTCAGCCTCTACTGATGAGTCAGTGAAACTCCGACAAAACAGTTTGTCACAGCCCCTCGTTTCAATAGTGCCACAAATTCGAAAAGTAATAACAAGAATAGCGAGCCCAATAGCAGATTCTGCAGCAGCTACAGTTAATACGAATAAAGCAAATAATTGACCCATCATGTCATCTAGATAAACAGAAAAGACTAAAAAGTTCAAATTGACAGCAATATGCCGCCGCGTGGGAGCCTTTGCTTCTTCCTTTCTGATATTTACGAAATTTTGTACGTTTTGGATATAGCATATGTGTTTTGGTTGATTTTATGAATATGAGACCCACACCTTGACACCTTTGTCCTTTTCTCCCTCTCTGCCTACGGTTTACCGGGCAGCTCTGTCTGAAGACAATATATATATTATATATAATATATATGTGAACCGACAGTCTGTAGAGTTTTCCATCTGGTGTGGGTGAGTGATAGTCTACCTTGATTTTGGTTAAGGTAGATTATCATTTACAGTGTAATCAGTGAGGGGATTCTGCAGACTGTTGAGGGTTCAGCCTCCTGATGAGTCGGTGAAACTCCGATGAAACAGTTTGTCACAGCCCCT